AAGAATCAGTAGTGAATATGAAAGAGCTTTTACTGCAGAAATATCTTTTAATTAAAAAAAATTAGCATACTGAAACATTTGCTAATTTCTGTGCATTTAAAGGATCCTAAAATTAACTGTTTTCTTAAACCTAGACTATGGTTATTTACCAGGCAGGTTTTATTTTATTTTTCTCCAATTAATTGTACCTACTATATTGAATTGAATTTAATTTATTTTCCACTAAGCTGTTGGATACACTGTAAATCAAATCTAAGAAGCTAATTTTTTTAAGTAGCTGCTGTCGGCATCAGAATTAACCCTTGACTTGTGATTTTTATTTTTTTTTTCCTAAGTAGAAAATCCTATTTGGCATCACGGAGGGGTATTGCTATCTGCCACTTTATTGAGATGCTGCCATGTAGCGCTGCCGTGTTCACTTGTTTTTCGGGTTGTGCCTGAGAGCTCAGGTGCTTGTACAAAATAGGGATGTCTGTGCTGCTGAAGACACTTATTTACATTATATATTTATTTGTGGCAATTGCTATTTGCCTGTCAGTGTTCTTGGCCATGTTGAGGTTGTCATCAACGCAGAAAAATAGGGAAAGGAGAGCTCAGGTGCTTGTACAAAATAGGGATGTCTGTGCTGCTGAAGACACTTATTTACATTATATATTTATTTGTGGCAATTGCTATTTGCCTGTCAGTGTTCTTGGCCATGTTGAGGTTGTCATCAACGCAGAAAAATAGGCAAAGAACAAGTAAGCAACGGTGCTGTAAAAGCCAGCATGATATGTAGACCTTGACTCTGTTTGTACATTAGTATAACAAATAGGATTTTGCCTTGTCTCCTTTTGTGTCACAGTCTAGTTGCTCAGTGCCCGGGAATGCCCTGCTGTGCATTCTTCTCTCTCCCCTCTGAGATAGGATGCTGAATGTTACAGCCGACAGCTCACTGTTAGGAGGTATTAAATATTACAAGTTACACAGTAGTCATCATCAGCGAAAACAGGTTCCATCAGCTTACGTGAGCTAGGAGCAGCCTAGTCTAATGCGAGCGTCTGTGTGATCTGCGCTGGGGAACAGTTATGCCGTAGGGAATGCTATGTGGAATCCTGTTTTGTTCCATCATGCCATTAGGGTGGAGACTTGTCGCTTCGCATTTTAAAAAGAAAATCTTCGAAAAAGAATTAATGAAGCACTCCCTTTTGCAATGGGAGGGAAGTGTGAAGGAATGCAAACAGGAAAGACTTGTTGGGATAGCACTACTGTCTAGAAATTGGGTGTAAAGCATGAGGTGAAGAGAATAAGCTGGCATTTGGGTCAGTGGCAGGCTTACTGTTATGCACTTCTGCAGCAGCATCCAAGAGCTGCTCACCTTTCTCTGCTCTGGATGTGTGATAAAAAGTCAAGCAAATATACTTGTGACCATCTCTTTCCTGGTCTTATCCCTTCCTGAAATGTCAGTTTTCTGATAGTGATTTATTCATTCATGTAATCCTTTAATTATTTGGGTGAATCTGGTTAAACCACTTTTTGTGTAATATGCATGCAGGCTGCCTCCCCTTGAAGCAGGTTTTGGTTTGGTGGGCCCATGTAAAGTCCGCAGTCTGCCAGGGCCAAATGGAGCATCGCTAGGTGAATTTCTAAAGTTACTTTTATGGCTCTTCCTGGGCTGCTTGGGTCCCTTTTGAGGTAAACAGTCTTGCAGAAAGGTCGGTACTGAATCAGCAAAGAAATAATTTTCCATGAAGTGAAGTGGAGCCATAGATGATCATCACTGGGGGAAGGTATGATGCTTGACGGGAAGGAAAAAGAAAGAAGCTGGTTAGTAAGACTGTTTAGTACATCTAGGTAGTTAACCTCAAAGGCACACAAATATTATTCGTTGTTATTACAGTTATAAAACTGTAGCTACTACTTTCATTTTGATGTTGTAATATAACAACAGATGAAGCTAGCCCTGAAGGGGCCCGTTGTCTGCTTTATTCGTGTTAGTGGTAGTCATTCTATATGTCGTCTTATAGGGTGAAGGCTCAGTAATCTGTTCTGTTACACCATATGCTAATACAGTGCTGATAAGCAAGTGTGAAAAATGAAAGGGAGGAATACATTAATTGTATTTGTGCAATAAGGTATGCTATCAAAGGTAATTATTTCATGACAGTGTTAGTTATAGCAGTTGTTTTATCATGGAATAAAAGATGGCTTTAGGAGCCTTTTATTGGAAAGACAATTGTATCAAATTAGTACCAAATTAGATTTTTGTCTTTATAAAGGTGAGCAAACCCATGAGCAGTTTTTAAATTGGTGTCTTCTACTCTACAAATGAACAAATCCTGTTTGAGGGTTAAAGAAGCTATTATTCTGTCCTTTATGCTGACAGCTTCATTACTGATTGGCCTACTGTTGGTATTAAAAAAATGTTTGGCTCCTTATGATCTTTGTGCATGCAACTATAATATTAATACAGACCACGGAACTGTTCATTAAGAAATGACTTTAAATGAGGTTGATGCTTGTAAATCTGGAGAGATACAGATGTTAAATGCTGCCATTCCTTTTCATATACAGCCGTATGGCTAATAATTTCCAAGTGGCTAAAGCTCTTGTTAGCAGGAGTGCTGGTGTGTTAAGAATGGCCCTATAAATAACTTTAAGAACTGAAGTTGAAGGTGCTTTTTTTTAAAGACTATTGTTAACTAAACATTATTGCCAAACAGATGGAAGGCATTCACTAGCCTGATGTTTTTAGGTCTAATTATATTATCGCCAGTCCTGTACGGCTCAGTTGAAGAGGTGTATCCAGAGGCCAATTTATAATCATTTAGCCAACACCTGTTTGGGAGATATTGACAGTCAAAGGGCACATTTAAAAAAAAAAACCACATATGTTCTTGTATTTATTGCCTCAATGTGAACAGTGTCTAGTTACAAACAAACTTGGGAGAAGAAGAAGGAAAGTGACTGTAAACACATAGTTGTTTCCAAACCATTTTTATCTTCTTTTGGCACCTCTTATAAAGTGGCTTTTATTTTTCTTTTGTTCTTTTGGTTTTCTTTATTGTTTATTTGGGGTTTTTTTGTTGTTTGTTTGTTTTTTAATTTTAATTTTACACCTTTTGGTTAAGCAAGGATAACAAAAAAAGTTGTTATTTATTCAGCTGGTTTCCACTGTTTCTGGAAGCCCCAGGTAAGAGGCCTGAAAAGCTGTTCAGCAAACTCGGTGGCCTGGGGACATTTGCCTTTCCTTACTGTGCCCTTGACATGGAAACTGTGTGTCATTCCTTTGGCAAAAAATCTCAGTAACACCAACTTCTGTTGATTTCCCCCCACCCCCAGAAGATATAGAACAGCTTTTAAAATTGGGTGCAACCCTAGTAAGAGGGGAGGTCTTTGAGATGGAGAGGTGTCTGTCACTTCATTTCTTTTGGTGAAATTTGGTGAGAGATAAATTACGAGAAAAAACTCCAATTCTCCACCTCTTGCTTGAGACACTCAGGCGTGCGATGGGGAGAGACGGAGGGCAGCGTTTTGAATGCAGCCATCCCAAAGAGTAAAGGTTGCTTTGGTGCAGCCGCTGCCTGGGGGAAGCCAGCACAACCCTGCCCTGAGACCTCCCCTCCTGGCCCAGCCGCCTGGGCCTTTTGCATGTCTCCACCTCACCTCGCTGTGGGCACTGCATGGGATGGCTGTTTCCACAGTTCCCTTGGCGTGGGGAAAGTCAGCATGTCAACCTGGTAGACTTCACCCTTTCAGAGATAGCAGGGCATGACTGCATCGCTGCCCCCCACAGCAGGGAGATTAGGGAGACTGGGTGCTGAGACACACTCTTGTTCTTGTTCCTAGAGGAGGGTTGGGCTTGTACTTGTGCTGCTTGTGTGGCTGTCTTGCAGCTGGTGCTGTCAAGTACATCTGTGTTCTTGGAGTTTGAAAATAATTAATTCCTGAGCAGGGTGATTTGAAGATGGGGATACAGAGGGTTCCGGCTCTCTAGAGATGCCTTTTGCCAAATATATATGCACATATATATTTTTGTTTGTTTTGTTTCCAACACACAAATAAATGGAGCTTTCTAAGAAGGTAGTCGTTATTTAGTACTTCTCTCATTGCTGTGCTGTGTTTAAAGTGCTTTCAGTAGAGGTGATGCACTCCTAACAGAGATGCTCTCTGCAGCTGTAAGTGTTCTCCTCTCTGCAGCGAACCCATCCACTCTTTTCTCCCTAAATAAATCCTCTTTTTTTTGTTGTTACCTTAATACTAGTTTACAGCAGCACAAAGGGACTTCATTGCAGCCATTTCTCTTGTGGCTTATGAGTGCTGCAAAACAAAAGTGGCAGTGGAGGAATGAGGCAGTGGTGACTCTACAGTTGATAAAACATTTTTTTGTGGCCTGGGCATGTGTGTGGCCAGCTTTTAGTTTAGTCTTCCTGGAAAGCAGGTATGATGTAGCCACCCTGAAAAAACAAAACAAAACAAAACATCAACAACAACAAAGAAAACCCCCCCAAAACCAAAAAAACCCAAACTACAAAAAACCCCTCTGGTAACCCACTGGTAGGCAACACATTTGATGTCTAGGAAGCCTGATGGGGAAAAGTGTTGCACTGAGAAGGTAGGTACAGTGAGGATTTAAGTGAAGTGACATGGGAAGGTAATGCTATATGAAGGTTACTTTTTGTGCTTCATTGTGTTGCTACCATTGTATTTCTGTAAATTGGGTTCTGCTAGATTATTGCTGTAATTGTAAAGTACTGGTTATTTCTGTTACCAAGTTAGGATTCATTCTTTTAGCTGATTGGGCATCAGGTGACATTCTGGTAGTTCTCTAGAGAGCTATATTCTCAATCATATTTCTTTCCTAAAAAAAGACTGGTTATCAAATGTATGCTGCAGAGCTTTATTTTTTTTTTTTAATCATTACTTATATCACTTTCTTTGTAAGAATATTCAACATTAAAGAACTGTGTTTTGTTAACTTATGTGAATCTTAAATATTTCTCTGAACACTTTTTGCTTAGGTTTTGCTTGTAATGGACACTAGAACACAACAGACTTTTATACTGAAGGTGAGTAAAGTCTTGTATTACTCCTCTAAACAGTTTGGCCTCCTAAATTACACCAACACTCAAAGATCAATTTGCATCTAATGTATAGAGTTATCTCTGCGATATATTGTTATGTTAATACATATATCCCTATTAAGCGTACTGGAATTCTTTTTGTTGGTATTCAGTTGCTTTCCCTTCCTTTCTCTGTAACGTTGCTAGTGCTCAGATGTGCTGGTTTACTCACTTGAGTTGCCACTGGTTATTGAGGCCAACACCTTAGCAAGCATCGGTAAAGAATCACGGTTTCAATGTGCTGCTTAAAACATCTGTAAAGCCCTGGTGGTTCAGGACACGCGCAGGCTGCTGATGAAGGTGAAAATTCTCCTTAGCCCAAGTACATCCACAACACTTTGTGTTTCGTCTTCCTTTAGTTGAAGAATATGATATTGACCAAAGTGGATTCTGGATGAAATGGACGACTGGTCTTATTCAAAATTGCTTTCCTATGTTTTACATCAATAGGCTGTGAAAACTGAGTTTAATGTTACTAACAATTGAATTAACAAACAGTTAATTGGTCAGAATAAAATTTTTCACATTACTCTTTTGTGTTTCAGAAAGTGCTCAGATCAAGATCCCAATATGCTCGGAGCATCTGTGATGCTGAGAATTAGTTTAATATGAGTATTGCTATTGTGGCCATTATTTCAGGCTCCCCTTGACATGAATTCCACTGCTGATGGGGAGGAAGGGCCGAAAAACTGTGCCCCAGACGTGGAGCTCTAATTAGTTGTTAACATTTTGTAACTTCGCTTCGGGTCTGGCTTACAACCCTGCCTTAACTTTGTGCATCTGGCCTTTGAAATTGTTTGTCTTAAGTATATGCAGAGTACAGAAAACCTATTTGTTCCTCGGAAAGGATTATTTGTGAATATTGTATATTAGAACCTCACTTTGTCTACTGGCAGATAGGGTAACATTGAATTTCCCATTTAACTGCTTATGTTTATCAATATTGTAATAGGTCACACTATTGACATAGGTTTTTTTTCTCTTTCTCTCTCCCCTCCCTTTCTCCCTCCCACATCAATTTTTTCACTTCTGGCAACTTCATCTCTGTGCTACCTCCCAAAAATCGTTACCTCTCAAGGAGACTAATCCTTTCCTTTCCTTTTTGTTGTGGTGGTTGTTGTCTTCAGTAAAGTACAATGGAAATGTGAGGATTACCTGTAAGGCTAAGGCATTCTTTTGTCTTTACAACTTGAATTGAATGTTTTTAATAGTGTCTTTTGGTCACACACAAAAATAAAATTTTAAAAAAAGGTCACAGGGAAATAACTGAGTGTCATCCTGATGACTTAGTTTGAGAGAGATTCTAATAAAAACATTGACCCATGTAATTGATTTTAATGGCAGCTTTGTGCCATCTTCTGTTCTCTGGAAATGCGCCAGATGCCATCAGCACAGCCTCGGGGGACCGAGGGGCATAGAGCAGCAGATGAGTGGTTTCTCTGAAGCCCAGAGTAACTCGGATAGATTAGTTTGGTTGATAAACACAGAGCACAGCAGGCTCCAAAGGCAACTGAGGGTACAACTGACCTTTTTGTTCTCTGTCAGGGTCTAAGGAAAAGTAGTGAGTACAGCAGGAGCAGAACGACCATCATCCCCCGCTGTGTGCCCAACATGGTGTGTCTGCACAAGTACATCATCTCCGAGGAGTCTGTCTTTCTCGTGTTACAGCATGCAGAAGGTTTGTCTCTCGTTTAAGTATGTTGCTGAAAAGAGTCAAAGGTTTAGGTTTTAATCAATGGCATATTTCATTGTCAAATTAATCTCTTATACATCTAATTAAAATATTTTTAGTGTCCCTAAGAGATGTCATGTAAGACACCCCACTCCCATCCTTCGTACTCTCCCTTTTTCCCCCTCATTCTGCGGTGGATCTGATTCCTGTTTCAAATGGCCTCAAATCCTGATGGATTACTTGAATTGTAGCAATATTGAAAGCTTCCAACTGTTTATTTTCTACAGGAGAGTGAGTGCTTTCACTGCAATAACTATCTGCAGTATTTACAGTCATCTCTCAGAGATAAAGTCTTTGGTTACTTTTGTAAACTTTGGCAAGTAAATCTTTTTAGCATCTTATAGTTAAAATGACAAGTATTCACACAAGAGTTTAGTAACTCTGCTAAAAAACATGAATGTTTGCCTGTTGGTTAATTTTGCGTAGTTGTTCTGATCTGGATTTTTAAGAAAATAGCTAGTGGCATCACACAGGAGTTCAAAGCAGAACCACAGAGTTGTGCCTTCAAACAATTTATAAAATTCCTGTTAAATGCACAGGGAACAGGTGGCACAAAATAATTACATTTTGATTTTTTTGGTCTAACACCTGGATTTAAATATTCCCTAAATGTAATTATCCATATTTGTTTAGATTGAGTGCAGAATATAAATTTTGGAATTGCCAATAGTTCTCTTTTTAGGAAATGTTAATAATCCAGTCAGAATGGATGATGTGAAGGAACTAAGCTAACTCATAGAGAAGATAATTTTATTACAATGAATATTATTTCTTTTTTTCCTAATAACTTAGATTTTGGCTTTTTCTTGAACAATATGTCACATGAGGCCAGTTAAAGTTAACTTTACAACATGAATGGCTCTTTCTGCTATGTGTGACTTAATTTTGCCATGAGCAGTGATGCATGAAGAAAGGCCTCACATTACAGTACTGCATGATGGTGATCTCAAGGGTTTACAGTGCTGCTTTTCTTGAGGTGTGTGTAATTCAGCTGAATGGAGACTCTCACCTGAACTGTAATCTCCACATAAGCTAGTATTTTTTGTTTGGAGAAATATTATTTAAAAACAAAACAAAACAACAACAACCAAAAAACCCAACCTTGTCAGATACCAACTGCCCTTACGGCTATCATAATCAAAGGATTAGAGACAGGATAAAATAATTTGAAAAACCTGTTCCTAATATTTCTGCAATTTCTGAAGACCTACAGTTTTGCTCTTCTCTTCAGGAAGAATGTTCCTTCTCAAGACAGATGGAGAATGGGGTGAAGAAGTACTGGAATTTGGGAGGAGTAGTGGTCAGATGGAGAGAACAAAAATTTTAAGGAAGGCTTAATGTGACCAGTTGACAAAGATGATCTCCTGGAAGTGATAATTTCGTGGTGACAACAGTGAGAAAACTGGAGACATTGCATGATCAGAGCTCTTTCATTTAAGAACAGAAACCTCAGCTTAACATTTGGGATGGATGGGGTGTTTTTCCTTAAAGGAATGACTCTCTCCTGGTCATCTTTGACATAGTCACAAATCCAGTGAAATGTGCTTGGTCTGAATGTCTTGCTCTTACCAACATCGGCTGTAACATGTTTTGAGTTCTATGGGGGAAGGATTTTTAATTTACTAAGTGTCTTCTAAATCAGGTTTGTGCAACACACAGCCTTGTGCAGCACCCCACACCATTTGTTTGATCTGCCAACAGTGAAGGTCATGTCTGTCAGGCATCCTCATTTTGGCTGGCCAGGCAGCAAACACATACTCGGAGGCAGCCGCAGCTCCTGTTGGCTTTCTGCCAGCTGTGGGTCTAACACGTGCAAGTAGGAGACATGGGAGGGAGATGGGTTATTTTGAGGTGGAGCTGGGAGAGGAGGTGCAGACAAGATGAGTGCTTTCTATAGGGAGAGCTTTGAAGGGGAACAGGAGGTAGGGAGCATGGGAAGAACTTGGGAGCATTGCAGAGAGGATGGAGGACTGGCAGGCTGTGCTGGGGAGGAAGGGGAGAGCTGTGGGGACCAGAAGGGATTTCGATGTGGGTGAGGGCTGTTGTTGATATTACATGATACATGGGTTCACTTGACTGGGACGCTTGTGGGTATAACTTAGAAACTGCATAGGGTTTTCCCTCATTTTCTGATAAGGCAGCAAGTAGCTTGGAAATGGATTCACCTCTATCCTTGTTTGCAAACCATTCAAAAATTGTGATGTGCTATAAGGACCTTTCCCTGATTTTCAGGGAATTAACAAGATTAGTTTCTTTAAGCATAGTCGCCTGCTTTCATGAACTTACTGACTGGGCTCAGAATAGGCAAAGGGAGAGGAAAAGGAGTGATGATATCTGTTCTAAAGAGGGATAGCTGGGGTACAAAGTCATGAGTAAGTTGCCTGAGAATGCATACAAAAAAGCATATTGCAGGTGTAGGGCCTGATCCCAAATACCTAACTGGGGCAATAATTTTTTGTTGCCTCTAGAATGGCGTGGCCTCTGCACGTCACCCTATCCCAGGAGGCTGATGCTGGAAAGTGATTCAGAAGAAAGGCTTCATTTTCAAGCTTTGGAATCCCTATAGATAAAGCTGTCTTAAAATTTCATCCATCTCAGACCAAATATAAATAGAGAAGGTACTCGTAGTTTATTTTGGGAAAGGATAGAAATGTCTAGGACAATGCTCTTTAAGTGATAGCCTCTGAAATTTTATTTCATAACTTCGTGAATGCTCTTAACATTGATACTCCAAGTAGTTCTGTTCCAATAGGAAAGAAGATACTGCCAGTCAAATTTATAAGTATATTACTTTGTGGTGATTTATTATGTTAGGTATGTTAGGTGCACCATTGTAAAGAGTAAAATATTAATTAAAGTGGGCAATGGCTTGAATTATAGCAAATTCAGAGGAAGTTTTAATGTTATGTGCAGGCATTATGTATTTGCTAAGCAGCTTGCTATTTCCTGTTCATAGTAAATTTTAGCTGTATTATGAAGTGCAGCACTATTAGGTTTTGTATGGATTTCTGAAAGCTTGATCCCAGACTCTTGCTCAAGATGAAGGCTTTTTTCTTTTTTTTTCCTTTTTTCTTTTTCTTCTTTCTCCCCCCCCCTCCCCCATCTCTTTGTCTTTTTTCTTTTTTTCCTTTTTTCTTTTGTTATTTTTTTTTTTTTTTTTAAATCATGATGCCATTGCATGCTCAGAATTGGTGAGTGAGGTCTTGGGTTCTCTTACAGGCTTTTCTCATGGCCACAGCTGGAGGCTTCAAGGGTGTCTCAGAAGCACGAAAGTCCATAAAGTTATCTTGTAGCTTTGTTGGAAAGCACTTGGCAAATTCTAGTGTGGTAGAGAGCCAATCTGATGTTAATAAGGCTTCGCTTCTTCTTGGCAGTACTAACTCCAGAAATTTTAGAAACAGATGCTTCAAAAATAGGCTGGGGGGCTTCCATGGGACATCAAAGTTTAAGTGGCTGTTAGAAGCTGTCAAATCTCTTTAAGCATAAACAAGCTGGAGTTCCTATCAATCTGGAGAGCACTCAAGAAACTTCATGCTGAAGAGGCTTGCTGCACGCAGGAATTGATAGACAACAAGGTGGTAGCATTCTGGCTTGCAAAGCTGAGGATTTGTTGTTAGGAGAGAGTACTAGCTGTAAAGATTTGACAGCCATCGGAAAATGTAGGAAAGGTAATATGGTCCTTGGCAAGTGACTTTTTCAGGAGGCTGCTTTGAAATAATAACTTTTGCTCAAAGTGCATTGGGAAGTTGGAACTTTGCCTAAACTAGCAAACTTTGTAGCAGAGATTCACCAGCAGTAGTGGAAGCAGCCGTGTATATAAGACTCTGGTGTTTGTAACTACTGTCATGTTAGAGATTAGATTGGAGATTGGCTTCCAGTTCATGTGTACCCTGCAACCCCACTGTGGCTGCCATTGGGATGCTGTGAAACGTTATTGTTGTATCACGGTAGTGCCTACATGTCTGGTTCCCGTTTGGCCTAGAAACTGTACAAGCATAATTTTATGTAGTCGTTGTATATTGATAAAGTTTGCCAGTAGACATGTCTTTATTGAAAAGGAGAACAGTGATTCTAAGAAAACCATAAGGTTGTTCTTTTTTCAGCAAGGAAGAATATTAATTCTCACAAGGTGCATGACTTATGATTGGTACTTCTGCCCATAAACAAATTCTTATGCAGTGATGTAGAGAGTTGGGCCTGATTTTGGAGAATAATTCAAGCAGATGTCTTTCAGTACTCTGTTTTTCTTCCCTATCCAATCACAATTATTTGGAAGCCTGGACTGTTCACTTCGTCTTTGTTTGGGATTTCCTAAATACAGTGATTACTGCATTCTTAGCTACATTCCAGTTCTGCAGAAATTAGAGTATATCGTCCTTCAGAGTAAACTCATGGGCCAAGCTAGCATAAGCCATTGATTTATTTTGGAATAAGTCTCCTTAGTCAGCCAGTCTTTCAGGATGTGAAGCTGAAATGGTAAGTGTCTGAGCGCTCTGGGTGAGGAAAAATCCAACAGGTCATGAATTTTTCTTGACAGCTAGAGCAAAAACATGTTTAGGAGGCTAAATTTGCTGATCTGTTAGGTTTCATTTTATCCTATGATACGTACTATATAGTCTCTATATCTTCTCTTTGATGTTCCTGCATTAAGTGCTATTAATACCAAAAAACTGCAGAAATGTTTGAAAAAATGTAAAAATATTATGGAACTAACAAGATTCCTAGCCAGCTTCATCACTTGGTCACTTTATGCTGAAATTTCCTGTTGATTATTTTGGACACTAACTTTTTAGACTCTGTCTCTCGAAGCAGAGTATATAACCTCCAGAGTGCTGGAAATGTGGTTAAGGCAGGCAGTTCTAATAAGTAATTTTACATTGAATAACTGCAGAAGAATGTAGAGCTTGGTGATTTTCATGTGCTAATAAAACCAGAAAGAGTGAGCTAGACTGGTTGTAGAGTCAGTTGATGGTAGAAGAAAATAATCTTAATAATTAGTTATGTTAATACTGTACTTCTCGAATTGTATTAAACACTAATAAACTTCAGCTTAAAATGGTAGCTTTTATAGTTATTTAGTATGTTAGACTATTTGACAATGACTGAAGCTTACTTGTTTGGATTGATTTCTGTAATTTTAGTTTTTATAGATTCCTGATACTATATTAGCATGGCTTGCTAATGGGTTTTCTTGATCTTACACAACACATGGGGAGAGGGGGAAAGATTATTAGTATGTCATTCATAAAGGCGTAATTATATACCCAGATAAAAATATCACTCTTGTTTGACCCTGGAATGGACATTTTCAGAAAGGAATAAAATTGTTGTTTTTCACTATAGAACACAATTATTGAATAGCAGTTATTTACGTATTTCCACTTGACCAGGAGGCCAGTCTTGAAATATTTGTATGTAAACATATTTGGACATAATAATTTTTTTGTGTCTGTTCACTTACATTTAACTCTAAATTGGAGTTGCAGTAAGTAGTCGTTTCCACTGTGATTTCTAAGTTCAAATGATTATTAATGAGCAACTTCTTTTTTAAAAAGGTAAGATAATATATTTACAAATAGAAAATGAGTCGTTGCAGTTCTGTCTGTTTTCACAGGTGGACAGCAGTGAATTCCTGAATACTGTAAGGATAAAGAGATTTTTTTTTTTGTCTTTTGCGAATTTTAGGTTTGCTGAAAGCATTTGAAATTTTGAACATTTTTAAAAACATAGCCTGAACCTCTTGACTCTTCAAGTGATTTTTCTGTGGGGTTTTGAAGGATCAATCTCAGCACGTCTGTTTTCCTTCCTTAATCCTTCTGGGGTCTCCTTCTTCCTTAAGCTACACTAAGACTTTGAGTAGAGACCCAAATCTAGTGGGGGCTGCATGAAATCTTGCATGAAGTGAGGTGGAGGGAGCAGAAGACAGGACTTGTCCTGAGAGCAGCTTAATCTGTCTGTAGGCGAAAAGCTAAGCTGTGCGAGGATAATTTTTGCACGTTTCACACTGCCAGGCAGCCCGGCCCCGTCCTACCTTAACACAGGTGTACGAAACATTTAGGTCAGTGAGAGCCTTTCAGGTGTCACACGTGAAAGCACACCTGGTGCCTGGTAATGACACAGGAAAAAAACCATGACAATAGATCACAGAAGTAAGGTTTTGAGCTTTCTGCATCCCTGGGTCAAAGCTCAACCGTTAGAAAGACCTTTTCTTACTACTTGCATCTGAGGAAGGACTTATGGTGCTAATATTTGCATTGAAGCTGTGCCTGGAGGCTGAGGTGCTGTTGTGCCAGGCACTGTCCAAAGCTGCAAAAATGTAATGTGGGTCTTCATGGGTCATGTTCTGTGAATACCCTTTGAAACCTAAGATTTGTGTTTTTGTAAGAAATTTGTGAAGCACAAATAATAAACACGAGTAATATGAAGACAGAAATATTTAGCATTTGCTTGTACTAATTAATATAATGCAGGTGGGATGGGGAGACTGTGTTTTATTAAATGCAGCAGGGGCGTGGTTGTCAAATGAGGTTTTATTGTTTGGTATGAAATGACTCTGAATAATTCCATGCCTAGTTAATAAACTGGGCAAAGTTATTTTGCAAGCACTGTTTACTTAAAGTAATTTAATTGAAATTTTTAAGAAAATTAATTATTATGAAAATATTGTTCCATCAGAGTCTTGTGGTAAAATTAAACTTTTGTGTTGCTGCTTTTGTCATGGATGAAATTGTGGAAGAGAGGAGTAAGTCCTTTGCACGTATACAAAAATACGTATGTTCTCGCTTTCTTTCTCATTTTCTTTTCCATTGTTTTCTCTCCCTGCCATTCCATAGCAAAAGCATGAATAAATGTAAAAAATGTAAAAAATGTAATATTAGAAAAAGAATTATTGGTGATTATGGGATGAACAACTTTTATTTTTACCAGATCAGTTTAAAACCGGTAATTCTGAAGTCCTATGCAAGCTGTAGGGCTCAGAAGCCACGGCACTGCCCTGGCTCTGCCTTTGCCCTGCTGACCAGCCGTGTAACACGTCGTATTTAAGGCAAGTGGCTTCATCTTGAGAGTCTGCATTGACTCACTGCTTCTTACAGAGGCAAGGTTCTGCTCATCAGGCACTTCTGGCAGGGCTCAGCGATGCAGGGCGGCAGGTTGCTTGGGTCCAGGCAGGCTCAGAGTCGGTCGCTGCCCAGGGGAGGCAGCCTGCTTCGCTGGGCTGAGGGCTGCTGCTTTGCTGGGAGTGACTGATGAGCCGTGTCTTGCTGCTGTGGCATGGCCCACTTGTAGGTATTTGGAATGCATCTTTGGGTGAGTATTTAAGTGCTTATGCAATACAGTGGTCAATATAGCAGTTCTTGTTCCCTTCTCTACGACCATTGCTTCCATTTGCTCATGTTTGTTTACCTGGCATCCTTTCTCATCGTCTTCTAGAAGGTGGCAAGGGTCATTCTGACCTACTAAGTCTGTTTGTAGCTTATGGCAGAAACCACGTGGATTAATAGAACTAAATTGTCATTTTTACCAGTGGACTTAAGCTGTTAGAAGTCCCTCTTAATATTTTTAATATACTTAGTTTCACCACAACCAGTGAGACTTCCACACCCGCCCCCCGCTTCCTTCAAAAACAACTCTTGTCTTAGCCAGGGGGATGGAGGGCAAGAAAACTCCACATTGTATTATTCAAATTAATTTTTAAAGTATCAAGGTTTTTCTGCCTTTGATAAGTTATTTTTGAAATACAGAAAACCTGTTCCTAGGCAATGAAAAAGACTTTCTTCTTTTATTGTACTTTCTAAAGGAATTTTGCCTGACATGGAGAGTGTTTAAAAATAACTATTGAAGACTGTATTTTGGAAAAATATAAAACTCTGTTTTATCCAAAAAAAAAAAAAAAAAAAAAAAAGAGAGCAGCCTCTCCCTTCAAGCCTTTCCAGCAATTTTGACCTTGCTGGAAAAGAGTTCAGCCCCACTTGGCTGGAGCTGAATGAGAAGCCGGGCACAAAAAAAAAAAAAAAAAAAAAAAAAGAGAGAAAACAAAAAAAAAAACAATCAAAACTTTGCAGATGCCCAGTGGGCTGGATACTTATTTCTTTCTTCTACAAAGATTTTGTTAGAACTCCTCTGCATTTTCCAGGATTTCTGTAGAATCTTTTAAATTGAAATGTCTTGACTTTGCATTTTTCCATAAGTTATCAAAGGTGGCTTTCTAGCTTTAAGCTAAATTCTTTGGCATGTGCAGGAGGTGCAGTAACTTCTTGAATTGCTTTGTGCAAATTATGTTTTGTAATCTGTAAGCTTTTTTAATATGTACAATATTTGGAAACAGAGAGAGTCCTATTTTGTATTTTTTAAATGTAACTATTACTTTTGGAAGTGTAACTTTCTTAGAGTCTTTGATGTGAAGGAACTGGTTTGCTAGTGTAACTTAAGAGTATTGATAAATCCTTGTGTAATGCAGCAAGGCAAAAAAAAACTTTCTTGAGTCCTGAAGTTAAAGGGAGAAATACATCCATATTTAAGTAACAAAACCCACTTCTTCAAAGAGGGGAAACAGATCCTTAAAATATCCTGCTAATATGAGGTAATTCCATTCCCTTTACTGAACTTGCTAATTAGTTTTTAGTCCATCTCCCCTAATATTGTTCATGAGCTTGGAGCTGTCATACAGAAGTATTCAGTACAGGCAGAACTCGTGGTGGGCACTAAACCATTTGATCTTCCCTAGTTTTTGCTTTCTTTTGAGACAGCAGATGGAGAGTAGTCGCCACCATGCAACTTGAGACAGACTCTGAAATGAGTATTTACTGAAGTTTTAAAAAAAAAGCTTGATCTCAGATACAGCTCTTTAAATATTTATGTATTAATACTAACCTGCTTGAAAAGCAAGTTGTGGTCCCTGTAATTATTTCCTCCTGAGGCAGCAGATCCAACTTGCTCTGTGGGCAGAAGGATATAGTCTGTTGTGACAATGAGGGTATTTTCCTGTTTCATAATGAAACCGATTCTGTTTTGAGTGAAATTAAGATATTTCCTCCCCCCCCCCCCCGCCCTTTTCTTGCAGGAGGAAAACTGTGGTCTTATGTCAGTAAGTTCTTGAACAGAAGTCCTGAAGAGAGCTTTGAAATTCCTGAACCCAGAACATACAGTTCAACTAAAATTTACCTGGAGCAGCCAACACCTAGCCCTAAAGAAACTGGTAGCAGCACTGATTCCAGAGAAAGCTACCGGGAGAGCACACTGAAGGTGGTCCCACTGAAGAGCAGCCTAACGCCAAGCTCTCAGGATGACAGCAGCAACCAGGAAGATGGCCAAGAGAGTTCGAAGTGGATGGACTCAGGATCCAGCTCAGAAGAAGAGTGCACTACTAGTTATTTAACGTTATGCAATGAATACGGGCAAGAAAAAATTGATTCTGGCTCTCTAAATGAGGAAGCGGTGGTTAAACTGGAGAGCGAAGGTCTAAATACCAAAGAGAGAAGTTGCTTGCAGAAATGCGGTGTCGTTGGCAGTGATAGCTTCACCTCTCAGATTGCATCTCAGGAACGAAAGCTTTTCATTGACGATGATGAGTCGGAAATATCTAGCCCTACTAGGATATTGGACTCATTAACTAAATCAAAGAACAGCCCCATGGAACTCTTCAGGATAGACAGCAAAGATAGCACTAGTGAGCTCCTGGGGCTTGATTTTGGAGAAAAATTATATAACCTGAAATCGGAGCCTTTGAAGCCATTGTTTTCTGTCCCAGATCATGACACAAGCTTGGACGCCCTAGAGAGCAAAGCAGGTGTGAGAGCTCATGACACCATAAGCAGGGGTTCAAATGACTCTGTGCCAGTTATCTCCTTTAAGGATGCTGCTTTTGATGAGGTAAATAGTGTTGATGAAGGAAGGCCTGATCTCCTAATAAACTTGCCTGGTATGTCTGATGAAACAGAAGAGGCAGCAGTGTCAAGGCCAACGAAGTTTACAAAAACTGATAGGGACATGTTGGAAGTAAAATTACTAGAAACACCTGATGTCTTACAATTAAATAATTCTGCAGAGCCATGCAAAACATTTGATCAAGAGCCAAATCTTGTGGCACCAGAAGTGGGTGATTCTTCCCGCGAGGAAGCGAATGGACAAAGCGGTGTCACTCAGGGAGCTCTTGGGACCCTCTTTACATCTGACCAAGAGGTAGGTAGTTCAGAAGATGGGGCTCTGTTTCAAGGGCTTGGAGCCTGCTCCTTAAACGTGACAAGCAAAGAAGAAAATGTATTTGTTTCCAACCCGCTCTCAGGTGCTCAAGATGTTAGCTTGGATGGAGACATATTAAGAAATGAAGCAGTGTTGCTGTTTTCCGATCAAACTGAAGACTTTGGGAAAGAGGAAACAGACTCGGCTTTGTTACCAGCAGCTGAAAGTAAAAAGACAGCACCAAAGAGGGAAGACAAAATAGCAGTAGCAGGGGAGAAGGAAATACATCAGATCTTTCAGGACCTCGACGAAAGATTAGTGATAACCTCCAGGTTTTATATCCCAGAGGATTGCATTCAAAGATGGGCAGCTGAAATGGTTGTAGCCCTTGATGCTTTACATAGAGAAGGAATTGTGTGCCGCGATTTGAACCCAAACAACATCTTATTGAATGATAGAGGTCAGGAACTTTTGCAAATGCATTTCTTTTTATTCGCTGTTGCTTCCAATTAACTGAGTAGGCGTTTTATCTTGTAATTAGTATCTTCATTTCCTGTCTAGAGCTTCATTATCAGTGCAGCAAATTCACCCCCAGTAATAGCTTCTAGTACTTAATGATGCCATTATTCTTAATGATACTGTTTTTAGCTACAAAAGGAGTAATTACAGTTCACTTCTGCAGAAAATGGAAGGGAAAAATGTTTTGATTTCTCCTGTCGTTTTGTTTTTAGGACACATTCAGCTAACGTATTTTAGCAGGTGGAGGGAGGTTGAAGATTCCTGTGACAACGATGCCATAGAGAGAATGTACTGTGCCCCAGGTTAGAGCAATCACCTACAATGTTTCACTTGGAAAGTAGATTAGCAGCTTTCATTTTCTCACGGAGCCTCTATAGCATAGAGCTCGAGATCATGCAATATCTGAATTTTCTTTGCTTTTTCCTGAATGTCTTAAAAAGCTAGAGGGCTCATAACTGCTTTGTTGTTGAACTGTGGTGGTGTTTGTTAGATCATTTCCATAAAGTGTAATTATATTGAATGTCTTGTTTAAGTGAATTTAAGGAATGTTTTGTTTTCTTGCGGTTGTTTGCTATGCGTGAGTACATCTTGATAACTGAAAAGAGCAAATACGGGAAAGGCAGACTGAAAAGATGGCACTAAGAGCCTTAAAAATACAAAAATTTATACATGCAAAGAACATGGGGGAAAAAAACCCATAGCAGTTTGAAAAATACAACCCTAATAGGCTCAGAGATGCCTTTGACATTTTTGATGAGCTACAGTGGGCTTTGAAATAGTTTAGAGAGCTCTTTTCTTAGAACTGCTTTCATCAATCATGAGGGTGATAAAATCAATATCTCTTGGGTTTTTATAGCAAAGATGGCACTTGAAACCAAGCCCTCCCTCTTTTCCTTTTTCCAATTTATTTTTTGCTAATATAGTGGTCAAATGGTAGTGACAGCCAAAAATCAGGTGTTTTACTTATAACTTCATACTTTAAAAATTTCATAGCTGGCTTAAAAACCCCTACTTTTAGAGTTGAAATGATTAGTGGGAGGCTATTCAGATTTTCAGTTTCTCTTTATTATTCTGAATTTGAAATGCCAACGTACTCTTTCTGCTGAGCGCGTAGTCTCGCTAGGCATTGCAGCTTGGCATGCAGGTAGTCTTCAAGCTCAGAGTCTGCAAATCTGCAAAAAATTTAGAAATAAGAGTTATCAGCAATGGAAGTTCTGAACTTAGTTTGGCATCAGGTGTTTATTCTGTGACTTAGTCCCGCAACTGAAATACAGTAAGGAGCTGCTCTCTGTGAATAAAGGTAGGATCTCCACAAAAATTTGAATGCCAGCCTCTTGAGATAAGTAGTAAATAAAATCTTTTCTGTCCAGGTGCAAGTCAAAAGGGCAGGTATTACAGAAAAGAATTCTTTTTACCTATCAAAGCAAACCCAACACCTTTGTTCTACCCTCACCCCGCTTTAATTCAAGAACAAGAAAATTGGGGAATCCCACCAATTCTTGTGGTTGTTAAATAGAAACGTGTTCTGGTTGCCAACATGCGTGACATCCTGTTAGAGAGTGGTGTTTTCCTGCCTCCCTAACCCAGCCTCCTACAAAGCGCTCCCGAGTTGAGTAGCAGCAAAGATGGAAGTGCAGCCTTTTCCCACCCTGTCGTCATTAATGAGCTGTGAAAGTCAAAGCTTCATTTTTCTGTATTTTAATGAGGATCCAAAGAGAGGCTTTTTTTGCCCCCTAAGCCCCAACCAGCCAACTCCTGCAGTAATTAAGTGTTTAGGGAGCAGTTGAAATAATATTTAGAAGTCCCCAAATGCAAGAATAAAGTTTTCTGCACCATCATTATTTCCACCTCACAGCACAGGTGTGGTATCCATCCGGGCTTTTCTTGGTTAAGTTGCCCTCTCCTCTCCGCCCTCTCTCCCCTACCCCAAGCTGCACTTTGCTTTGTGTGTCTGTAACTGGTGAGCTACAAGATGAAGGTTTGCAAATGCAAATGTTAGATATATGCAAGATGGCTGAATTGATACTGCTCTCTGATTCTTACCTTTCATATTTCTTGATCTTAATGTTATCTCTGCAAAGTGTGCTCTTAGTGTAGCTATTTCATGCTAATTTTTGCATAGGAGAGTAATATTTCATATAACTTAGCAGTACAACATATATTTTGGAGCCAAGTGCCGTTCTATTCTGAGCAATGATTTAATACCTGTACCTTCGATAATGGTACATAGCTGAGGTCAAAGCAGCTTTCTTAGGGCTACTGCTGCTGGTAAATCTTGCTTTAGAACTTTTGGTCACTATTAAAAAAATAATCATGTTAGTGGGCTTTCTTTAGGCTCTGATGTTACAGGAAAAAGAAACCTTATTCGGATGATCTTTTTTCATTTTCAGGAGTGTAGCATGACCCTGGAACCCATGTCTCCCCTTTATCATGATAGCATTGCTCTGCAAGCTGCTTCTTGGAATAAGGATTTTGAAATTATACTTGTGCTTCAGTTCAGTACTTTTAAGAGAAATTGGCAAGTTTGGGGTTTTTTTATTGTTTTTAAGTTGCTTTTTAAAACTGATCATAAATGTTTCTCACATCTTGCTTTTTTCCTGCTGTTTAGGGCTGCAGTTTTGTAGAGGTGAACAAGTGATCTTCACAAGATTTCATCAGGTCTTCCGATTGCTTATCATAATCCAACACAGTGACTAAATAAACTGACTCAAAGTGAGTCTTTATCTTGTTTTGAATTTTCCTGGTGTTTCCAGTATTGTATGCTGTGTTGCCCTACCTCTGGTTACTCAGCCTTCCTTCTCCTTTTCTCTCCTAGCTGAAGGATGCAGTGAAATTTGGCTTGTAAAAGTTTGTCTCCATGCGTTTAGCTTGGTGTGTGTTTTCATCAGAGTTCGGGATAGAATAGCATTTGGATGTGGTAACTTGTATGTTACGTGATTTCAATGTTTTGTTATTTAAATGCGCTCATTAAAAGTATGCAAGAAAGGGAAGATGTCTTTATCAAAACACTGTCTTTTAGGGTCTGGTATTGGAGACTGAGAACAAATGGTGAGTCTTGGGATGCAATTCTTTTTCTGCATTGATTTTTTGAGGAAGAGGAAAAGAAAAAGGAGAGGATGAATGTGAAATTTAAACAGATTGCAGGATATCTTCAATTTAAAATAGGTAGGAAATTGTATCGCAGAGTTATGAGAGAGAGGTAAAAATGTATTTGAAACAATTTTATCTTTTTAATTGATGAGGTTTCAGGTGTTACTTTTTTACAGCACAAGGTATAAAGTGCTTAGCAGTGAAGTGCCTGAGGACATATTTAAATTTTAAGTTGCTTTATTGGTTGAAGGAAAACATGGAGTCTAAATTCTACAATTTATATGTCAGAATCTAATTCCTGGAGGGGATAGGGATAATAATGTATTAATGTTGAAGCTTTTTGTACCCGGGGAGAATAGAGGTCCAACTATGTGGAGCTTGCTTGCAGGATCTAGGATTTTGTATTTGAGGCTTTCAGTCCCCCAGGTTGTAACCTTGTATTAAAGCAAAGCAAGGTAGTAGTGGTACAGAAAGAGTGATCAGATCCTTGCCATGGTGAATAGCAAGGACTTGCTCAGCTCTTGTTATCCTACAAAAAGCGGAGAGGTAATGTGACTGCATATGTAGAAAAGAGATTATGCAGTGTATATATAAAATAATAGAACAAACGCAAACATAAATGGAGAAGTGCCAAAAAGATGAGGGAAGAGAGAGTTTAAAAAGCTGCATACCACTCCCTGCTAGCAATATAATTAATTTTGTATGAAATAGCAATTGTCATTTTATATCGTGCATAAATTAAAAGCAGGGCTAATGCTGTTGCAAGAAGTGGCACTTCTCCACTATTGACGGCAGGTGGCATTGTACCATTAATGGATTTTGCTGTTGCACTTGCTGGTTCTAATTTGCCTAACTTCACATGAGAACCGCAGACGGAAGATGGGGTTTATTTGTCATGATTTGCATATCAAGAATTGTACTTGCAAACTCAGAGTCGTGGTGTGTTATAGTGCTGTTGAATCTGTTGGTAAAGCTGGATAACTCTCTCTACTCCTCCGTAGCACTACTCAATAAAAAGAAGTTGATGCTGAACCAACTACTGCAACAACAAAGCTATCTGCACATGCTTAAAAGTAGCGCCTGTGCTATACTTTGATTAATGGCCAAACTAAATCTTTGCTGTTCACCTATGATAAGTCAAATGTTGTTTCTCTAACCCACAAGGGAAATGATGGATTATAAATCATCCGCTATAAACTCAATACCACTTCAAGTAAAACTGTGGGGGCTTTGGCCAAGAATAACCTGTTTGCTTTTAAAGAAGAAATTAAGCACTTGTAACTGAGATTTTCTGCTGCATTAATATGGTTAAGGTGACTAATGTGAGGTTTATATGGTGGTGTTTTGTTTTTTGGTTTTTTTTTTTTTTTTAACTTTCCTCCTCTCTATAGTAACTTTGTTTTCTGAATGTTCTAAAGTGCACTAAGCAGCTGATGTCTGAATACAAAGTTATTAGCAGATCAAATGAGAATGATTCACTTCTGTTTAAACAGCCCTTTGCTCTCCATACCTCCTGAGAACTCTTATCACATATTTGTTCAAAAAACCCCACAAAACTAACAAAAAAATCTCTCGTATTATCCACCTGCCTGGTGGCTGATAGTATCGGCAATGTATCTCTTTATCTCTTGGTTAATGTGCCTTGGTATTCTGAAGGGGGGAAAATTCCAGTAACAGATTCAATTTACACAGACAGAAACTTGAGCAAATGCCAGCCTAGCAGGGGGGCCATTATTCTGCTCTATAAATAAGTTTAAAAAAGAAACAAACACACACACAAACCTGTGAATCAACATGTTTTGGTCTAATTGAGGGAAAAGCAAGATAAATGAATTTTGAAATGCAAATGATCACCTTCTGTTATTTAAGTATCAGTTTTGCCAACTTTGTGATTTTAAATATAAAGAGTTGTTACCTCTTAAATGGAGTAATAATTATATTCCATTCTTGATAATCATGATTTTTAAAATCAAATTGGTAAGTTTTTAAAAAAAGCCCCTTCATAGTATGCTTAATACCTGTGAGAAAGACAAAATTGTCTACCGCCACAGCCTGGTCAAGACTGTCTTCAACTAAAACAGATAAAGTTGAGGATTTGCTCACAAAGCGTAATCTCTTAGGTACTTTTTCGATCTAACCTGTGAAGTGTCATGTTGTAGAAGCGGCTTGCTGGTCTATCATCTTGTGTAAATGTGATGTGTGAACGAGATGT